GTTTTTGTTGTTAAGTTTTCGGGTCTCGCAAGTTTTTTTTTTTTTTTTTAGAAGGCATTTTCAGCTTGTAGCCAGCTGACAGTGTGTTTCTAGTTTGGAGTACTGACTGTCATAGAAAATACAACCCAATTCCAAAAAAGTTGGGACGCTGTGTGAAATCTACATAAAACAGCATGCAATGATTTTGCAAATCTCAAACCCAAATTTTATTCACAATAGAAAACATATCAAATGATTAAACTAAAAAAAATGGCCCATTTTTAAGAAAAAAAAAAAATCTGTTCCTGCCATCAATTTCAAAACTACCTTATTTCTGTTCTTAAAATTGTAAATATTCTCAGTTTAAACATTTTGATATGTTTTCTATTATTGTGGATAAAATATGGGTTTGAGATTTGCAAATCATTGCATTCTATCTTATGTCGATTTTTACAGTGTCCCAACTTTTCGGAATAGGGGTTATAGAATTGTACAGCGTGTCTAAACAGTTCTAATTGTATACAGCATTTACATAAAGACTTTTGAGCTTTATTAAATAACCTACATCTGGGAGTTTACATCTGCTTATTGACTGTATCCCTGTTAGCACAAATTTAATAGGAATGGGAAGGGCATCTGTATTTTTTCTAACAACAAAATGATCCACCAAACACCCGAAGGGGAGACAAGTGGCTTTTAAGCAATCAATAATAAAAGGTGAATGAGCAACACTCTTCAGTGCACAGTTGTAACCGAAAACCACTGAGGGCCCATTTACTTGTGTGTTTTGGTGACAATTGTCTAAGGGAGATGTTTCTGGCATTGGACAGATTTCGAATTCACTTTCTTTTGTGTCTGCAGGACAAAAAGTGAAGGAAACATTGGTGGGGTGGGGGGCTGCAGGGCTTTTAAGTATTGCCCACTCTAACCAAGATATGTATTAGTATTTAATGCACCTGAGGGAGAACCAGTCGGTGGCTAGCAAGGCCATTGGATCTGCATGACAACCAGGCAGCTAGCATTTTCAGAAAGAGTAACACTGGTATCAGTCCTACATATTTTTCAAAGTAGTTTCCATCCAGTAACTCTTGAGAATCACCCACACAGGTAGTGCATTGTTTCTAATGACTTGGCTGAAGTACGATGACTAGTTAGTGCTGCAAAGCAGGGACTTCAGCCTGCATATGCAATCGGCAAATGTGAATGCCCTGTGTCCATATACAGTATAATGACACAGGAACAAAATCTTTGCAACATTTACATATGGATAGGTATATGATTTGCTGAGCTGATCTTCTACATAATTTTTTTTGAAGACATTGAAAAGACTGCTGTGATGTGCACATGCCTTGTTAGTAATGATTGCAATGATCACTCCACATAGCATATGAACTTTAAAATTAATTTTGAATGTGTCCTGCACTTAAAGGAGAACTATGAGATGAGTGATTTCCACCCACCTCATAGTTCTAGCCGACCTGGGACAATGAGACTGTCACAGGTCGGCTTAGTAGATCGGGAGGTGAGCGAACAGATACCGGCGTTCGCTCACCTCTCTATCCTGTCACGGCTCTCTGCCGTGACAGGGGAGGGGCTGGATTCCCCCCTCCCCGCTCCGATCCGCCAGCGCTGACTGGTGGAACGGACAGGGGAGGTGGCGGGTACAGCTGGCTTTGCCTCTAGATAGGCAGAGCCAGCTGTCACTCACGCAGCTGGGTGGATCTCGACATCGATGTCGGGATCCGCTCCGGCGTCTCGGTATACCGCGAGCTGTAGCTCGCGGTATACTGAGCTTAGGGTAACTGGAAGACGCTAGTTTGTGTCCTCCCGTTACCCTAAGGAGAACTATGGGGAAAAGCCCTGACTCCATAGTTCTCCCTTTTTAAGTGATTTTGAACCAATGGTATGGTAACTTTCTTTGTTTGCTTGTCCACATACCTGTCACTGTTCAATGTATGTTGAAAGAAGCACGTGCTCAAATAAACAAGATGAGCCTGTCTTATGACTTTTGTTTATATACCATGAGAGATTCCAAGATTATGAACCTGTGCTGAAGGCATACTGTAATCGGCTGCATTTCCAGTACCAAGGAAGAAGTAATGTACAGTAGGGCACTAGTCAACTACCGGTAGATGGTAAAAATTACAATTATTTGTATGTAATTGTAATTCCAAAGTACAATTTCCAAACCACACTCAGTAATGTACTGAATACAATTGTATTGATGGTGTGCGGTTTCCCCCTCCCCCTCCTTTTTCCTTCCTCCTGGTCACATGTTGTGTCATGCAATAAAAGTGAAGGTGTTGGGGTCCCATTTACACTGTTGTGTTAAGGCAACACACGTTACTGCAATGTATGTTAACACATGATACAATGTGTGTTGCTGTGCCATTCATTTAGAAAGCCATGTGTAGTGGAGCAATGCACTAACAAAAAAAGGGCCATGCCTGATTTTCATGTGTTAAGGTTAGCTAACTTTCTGGATGAGACCACAAGAGGAAAAGCAAACACAGAAGGATAGTGCGAATGGTAGTCGGATAAGGAATGCTTTAGAGATGCAAGCTGAGTTCCACAGTTAAAAGAAACACATAAAACAGCCAGAGGGGAATGTGCTAAAATCCTTATTGCCAACCAACAGTGCTTCTGGTAGAATGTTCTTTGGACAGATGAGCCAAAACTGGAGCTTTTTGGTAAGTCCTACCAGCTCTATATTTACAGATGGAAAAAAAAAAGCTGTCAAAGAAAAGAACGCTGTACATAGTATGAAACATGGAGGAGACTTTTGGCATGTGGTGCCTTGAATATGTGTAGCGAACAATGAAATTTCAAGACTATGAAGAAATTCTAGAGAAACGTACTGCGCAGTGTGAGTAAACTCAGTCAGTCTCAAGTCCAGGGTTCTCTAACAGGATAAGGACCCAAAACACATAGCTATAAGCACCCAAGAATGGTTAAGAATGAAACGTTTTGACCATTCTCAAGTGGCCTATGAGCCCTGATCTGAATCCTGTGGAGCATGTATGGAAAGAGCTGAAACATGCAGTCTGGAGAAGGCACCCTGTAAACCTTGTTCGCTCAGGAGTGGGCCAAACTACCTGTAGGCAGGTGCAGAAGTCTCCTACAGAAATCACTGGTTTACAGTCATTGCTTCATATTTGCAGGTATTGTGCAACAAAATATTAGACTAGGTCCCATCATATTTGTTGCCATTTTTGTTTGTTTCAAAAGCAAAGTCTGATTTTTATAAAAAATGTAATAAACAAGGATGGCTACCAATTACTTTGTTCAGTTTCAAGTTATTTCAGAAAAGTATGGGTTCTTTTTTCCTGGAAGAGTTATTAACAAATGTGTCCACATCTGCACAAAGCCATAAGAAGGGACCTAATCAATGACTAGCACATTACAAGTTTCTACTACTACTGTACTGGAGTATAAGAAGTTGCAAGTTTATTCAATTGGTCTATTACCTTAGGAGAAGGGAAGAGTTAATGTTTTAAATGTATTTTTGAACATTAAAACAATGTTGAAAAAGGCAATGGCCAGCAGTGCTTTTGTTACATTACAAGAGTGCTGGTGCTGACCCTGTGAGATATGAGCTTTTATATCTATAGTTGGCTTGTAAAAGATGAAAGTTTTTTTTCTTTCAAAACGGGGACTATCGGGCAATATTTCAGCTATTAACATATGAGAAAAAAAAATCACTGGTCCATGCTTAGACAGTTTTTGTCTTGCGAATTAAGATGTACCATATTACAGTTAGAGGAAATATGAAATTAGTTTTTTTTACATTGTCACAACTTGATAAAATATTTTGGTTCCCTTTTAATAAGTGGCTTTGCTCTTTATTCTGGAGAAGAAATGAGTTCTAAAACTTTGGTATGTCAAATAATGCAACTATCATTTAGGGCCCGTTCACACCACCTCCAGTGCATTCCAGCATGGTTAGCTACTGTAATGCTCCCTGGGGCGGGAGGCCCCCTCGCCCTCAGTGTGATTGCCTGCACCTGGGCTTATAGGAATCTGGGTGCCCCCTTTAATACCACCATAGCCCCCTGAATGACAGCAGGCAGTGGGCCGATGCAATAGCTAGCCTGCTACTGGCTATTGCAATTTGAAATAGACAATAGCAGGCTGACTATTCCTCCCACCCACTGTCCGGTGTTTACATTCAGCTGCCCCTTGCAGAATCTAACCATCGGCAGATGAATGGGACCAGAGGCACTGGATGCGGGGGCACACTGGAATTGGTGGAAGGTTGTGGGGGGACATAATGGAGGCGCTGGATGTGCAGGGGGACACTGAAGGTACTGGTTGTGGGGGGCTCACTGGAGGCACCAGTTGCTGCAGCAGGGCGCCTGCTAGTTGTCTGCACTTATCGGTAATATCCTTACATTTAAGACCGATACCGATTATTTTAAACTTGTTAAATATTGGCCATAATAATCGGTTGACCTCTACTTGTGACACCCTATTCCAGTGGTAGGTAAACTCCAGCTCTTCAACTGTGATGAAACCACAAATCCCATCATGCATGTGCCTCCGGGAGCCATGTCTGTTGCTGTCAGAGTCTTGCACTGCCTAATGGGATTTTTAGTTACACCACAGCTGGAGGGTGGAGTTTGCCTACCTTTGGTCTATTCTATCAAACTCACTGAGATTCCTAAACAACTTAGATCTCCAGTATTGTGATATCATGTGATCTACCCTAATAAACCATTACAAAAGAGACAGCTAAAACCCTTGCAATATGTGTCGTTCACCTGGAAGAGATGGTGTTTTTAATAGTGATCGTTCACCAAGGCTACTGAATTCTCAGTTCTACAGACACTAGTGAAAGAACCAAGAAATAATATATATCAAGAAAATTGAAACAAAATGCAAAGATAATATTAACAATGTAATCAGAAAAGAGTTTACGGTAAAATACATGACAGTTACCCATTAAGTAAACGATTCTCCAGCAAATGGAATGTGAGAGTAATATACTCAAATATTAAAGCTAAATTCCACACAAATATGAAAAAAACTCATTTTAATCCAGTTATTTGTTTGCATTTTCACACAGAAGTAGCATGAACTCCTGAATCCGTCCTAGTGTTATCCCCCTATAATCTGATGTAAACCAGAACTCCCAAATTGGGAGATGAAGATTCATTTGCTCTGCTCAGTGCTGTCAGTCAACCGTTCCAAAATATGTACAGAAGAAGAGAGCAGAGTGATGACCTGTGGAACTGTGCTCTGCTTCTCCTTCATTGTCTAATCATAGATTCCATTACTGACCATGTCATGTCAGGTCACCAACCTGACTATGCTGTTTGGCGGAGAAGCTGGGTTCAAAAGACTGGATGCATACATTTGGTAGGCAAACGTTATATTATATTGAAATGGTGTATTTAGCTGAATGCCTCTAGTTCATCTTAACTGTTTAGGAAGTCAAGAGGAACTTTACCCATATCTTCAAAATAACAACAAGGCACCTTTAGAAATGTTTAATAATGACAATTTCCAAACACATACTTCTAGATAATTGCCAGCTTTGCATTCCTTATTTTTTTTTTCCAGTCTTCTGACAGCGGCCATTTTAATTAAGTGCAGGTTTCCCTCTACTTTCTGGAACTCTGGCACATGTGACCATGCACATCATCTCAGGGGGGGAAATGCCTTTCCCTGAGATCTCATGAAATTACAGATGAGATTTCCCAGCAATGCTCTGCTGATGTAACCTTTCCAGGATGCAGATATTTGCACCAAAGTGGATCAGGAAGTGGCACATTTTTTTAAATGTAAAATAAAAACTTGATTGTTTAGCTAATGAATGTAAGATGATTTCATATCAGCATGCAGAGCTTTATCCTGATGTGATTTTTAGTCAAAGGGGGTAGAGGTCCATTTAAATACCATTCCTGGATAACATGTTGCTCCAGGCATTCTCCATTTCTGAACATGTGATCTCAACTGAAGGAGAGGGTCAATCCTTCCTAAATCTATTCTTCCCCTTTAATAGAGATCACATGACCTGTTTTTTTTTGTTTTGTTCTATGGACAGTACTAAAGTATCCTGGCACATAATTTTCTCTAAGAGAATTGTTAACCTGTGTATATACTGTATATATTTAGTTAGCCCGGCAAGAATGTTAACACAGCTTTGTGTCACATACAGGTGAAACTCGAAAAATTAGAATATCGTGCAAAAGTTCATTTATTTCACTAATGCAACTTAAAGGTGAAACTAATATATGAGATAGACTCATTACATGCAAAGCAAGATAGTTCAAGCCGTGATTTGTCATAATTGTGATGATTATGGCTTACAGCTCATGAAAACCCAGATCCACAATCTCAGAAATTTTTTGACAGTGTGGGCAGGTGCCAAGTCCTGCTGGAAAATGAAGACAGCATCCCCATAGAGAAAGCATGAAGTGCTCCAAAATCTCCTGGTAGACGGCTAAGTTGCATTAGTGAAATAAATGAACTTTTGCACGATATTCTAATTTTACGAGTTTCACCTGTATGTTTAACATTTTAGAATTATTTTGTGAACCCTGCATAATACTGTGTCTCCTTATATGCTATGAGCCTCTCACTATGTCGAATTTTGTTTTCCTTGATTATCTTTGTTTGCCTATGTTTACCTGTAATTTGCCTATTCTGGCCCCATCATAAGGTTTAATTCATCTTGCTTTCACTAACCTGCTGCTCCGATTGGCCACTGAAAGCAAATAATGGTTTTAGAGCTAAAGCCCATGACACACTGCACACAAAGCCGTGCAGAGCGAAGCAAAGCTATCAGGCACAGAGCTTCACGTGCAGTGTGTTCGCTGAGTGCAGGCAGATGAATGACAGCACCTTCAGCCAATCGGCTTGCATGTAACAACCGGCTGGACTTTGTATCCTGATGTGCGGGTTTATACACGCGAGCCGATTGGCTGAAGATGAAATTTTTTATCTCGACATGCTCAGCTATGCGAGCTCTTGCAAGCTGACGTGCTGGAGAGAAAATGACACACTGCATGCAAAGGCAACGCACCACCGCTTCGATCTGCTTCGCGTGCAGTGTGTCACAGCCTTTACAGAGGGCTAAAGACTCTCTGCCCCCACGTGACAGCATTGGGTAACTAGCCAGCTAATTTCCAAGCAGGGGTGCTGTCACATGACCACAACGAGTGTAGGTCACACGTTCTCCATACTCAAAAGTATTTTCTTTAATCCTCGGGACTGTATGGAACGGCAGAAAAGTAAAAGGAAGGAGAGTATGTGCAGCTGGTGGAATTAAAGTGAACCTGTTGCTTTGCCCATAGTTAACTCACTTTGCCTCCGTGCAGGAGCTTCCTGTTATAAAGACCAATTTTTGCTGCTTTCCCTCCTTGTGCAGGGTGACTGACCTTGTATCCTTCCCTTGTATTTTCTTTGCATGAAAGCTGCAGTGGGAGGACCTGCTGAGTCCCACCCTTAACTCTGTTGGTTGCACAGGCTATGTGCAGCCCAGTGGTGATGTCATGCTACTTTTACAAGGTTTTATCTGAGTGTCACAGATCAGCAACAAAGCTGATCTGCAACTCTGTGTAGTTCTAATCACCATGTAATCTATTTCACCTTGTGACTGCAGCCTGCTTTTCTTTTCAGGACTGAAAGGTATAGGTGTAGCCATATTTCACCTGCTGATTGATACAGAAGAGCAACTACACAGACAGTCCCCACCCAATCTGTCAATCAACCTCACTATTTAGCTGTGCTCAGGCCAATGCCCATTGCCTAACCAATAGATTAATTTTCCAGCCCAAGGCTCCAGCCTGAGTTAGCTCCTGCGGTCCTGCATTATTTGACTGTGCTTCATCATTGCCTGTCCTGATCCTTGCACCACCTTCTGGTTCCATTCCCTGGTCAGCTGCCATGTGCACAGATATACCACAAGGACACAACCTGGTCCACCCTCCTGTAAAGTCCATCACCCCTTGTAGGGTGCTCTGGTGAAGATCTGGTGGTGTGCACTTTCACTCTGCGCCTTGGCCCTTTTAAGAACTCACACCCTTTCCAACATGCTTATAGACTATCAATTATGGTCTGTGACACTGGGTTTGCAAAGGAATTTTGTCCACACAAAGGGAATTTGTATCCCTTGAAACTAGTGAAACACATATTAAATGAAACATGTTGTCAGCTTTAAATGAGCTTAGATTTCAGAAAAGCATAGGGGCACTATCTCTGATCCATACCCACACCATAGCACACAATGTAGCTACACATGATGCAAGTTCTGAGTGCTGTTTAGGCACTGAGCCAATTCAATCAGTGACTTATGAGATGTTTAAGATTAATGAAAACTGATAATGAAAATCTTTGGGGAGGATGTTTACATTTCGGTACAAACTCAGTGTGGAGCTTTAACTCCTTTAGATCTGGAAAATTTGGAGCCCAGCATTGAATAAGTGCACTGCGGGCTTTGTGGTAGTAAACAGTTAATTTCAGGATAATATGACCCCCATATTTAGCGTTTCCCCACTACCCGGGACAAAGCAGTAATATGAGCAGATGTTTGGAATAATGTTATTTACATATACAGTATATCAATGACAGTTACTGTTGGTGTTACGTCCTTTTGAAAACAATTCCTTGAATTTAACCATTTGTGCAATATTTCTTGCCCTTCTGATATCTTAACTTCTAGACCACCAAAGCAGCGAAAAGATAACATTACAGATCATATATATTATTTATTTATTTTATGTTGAAACACAGCTTGATCCAAGCTAACTAAAATACAGTTTCGAAATCTTAATTTGGACGATTCTCTTTCGTTCCATATATCCATCCTGAATTGATACATCCATCTTTGGCGGCACAGTGTGAGTACATGTAATATACATAACTGACCTCTTTATAAATAAGCATTGCCTATGCTTCCTGCTGATTGTCTCAGTCTTTGATAGCAATGTGCTGCCAATGGGTGGTCCTCGCTTGACTCTGGGGTTCCTCTGAGGATCTGCTGTAGGACTTTTGCCCCCTCTCCTCAATGACAGCCACATGCTCTCACCACCATGTTCCTGTATTTCTTAAGTATGACATTTGAGTTATCATCAAAATAAAGCACTGAGATGGCGTTTAGCTTGGTTGGGGCGCAACACGGCTTTGGCACATACTCCGGATTCATAAGGTGGACCTGGGAATTGAAATTCAGATTAATGTGTATCATTAGCATTTTTATTAAACATATATAAACTTTACAATTATGGTTTTAACATATCAATGCTAAGTATCTCATACGTGGCTCTTCTCCATATTCTGTCTACAGGTGAAACTCGAATAATTAGAATATCGTGCAAAGTTAATTTATTTCACTAATGCAACTTAAAAGGTGAAACTAATATATGAGATAGACTCATTGCATGCAAAGCAAGATAATTCAAGCCGTGATTTGTCATAATTGTGATGATTATGACTTACAGCTCATGAAAACCCCAAGAACCCCAAATCCACAACCTCAAAAAAGTAGATTATTACATGCAATCAATAAAACAAAGATTGTACATAGAACAATATCGGACCTCTGAAAAGTACAAGCATGCATATGTACTCAGTACTTGGTTTGGGCCTCTTTTGCAGCACTTACTGCAATTACTTTTGCACGATATTCTAATTATTCGAGTTTCACCTGTATATATGCCAAATTAACAGGTGATCCTGCCAGCAGCTTCAGCTTACTTTAGAACAGTGTATGCACCACCCTACAATAAATGTCGATGAATGTGACAAATTCATGTACATGTCAGAAACACGCACATTAATTTATATAAAAGCCTTCCTTGTGCACAGGTCTCAAGGAAACTGTGTGGCCAAGGTTCACTGGCTTCTAGAACACTGGCTGCCTTGGGACTATTTGCGTCCTAGTAACCAATTATGTTTTGCGGTCCAACCTGATTGGTTTGCTAAGACTCCCGCAGCAACATGACAACAGACATCCTAGCAACTAACAAAGTTTACTCAGTCATACAACTGTGACTGGCCTAATTTGCTGTCAGTTTCCTTATCTCTGAAATGGCAACTTTTTAAAATGAATTTGTTGCAGCCATTGCGACATAATGTAAAAAAAGTTTTTAACATTGGCTTCCAACTTGGTCTTGGCTCTGATGTGTGTGTGCTGCATTTTATAAAACCGAGCTGAACAAAACAATTAATTTACCAAGGGAATAGACTTCTTTGTTTTTGTTTTTTTGGATAGGAACGAAAAAGCTTCCAGCACTTTATGGGTGTTCAATTGACATAATACTTTGTCAGTTTCTGAGCCATGGCTTAAAGAAGAACACTTGGTAATATGGCAAAAGAAAGACATACAGTATATTCTCGCTTAGATGTTTGGCAAGCATTCTTCCATCCTCAGTGGATGTCATAATCCTCATAGAAGCTTACCATAGACCAGAACATACTTTAGACTATTATTTATTATAGACATTTAGCTGTTATGAATTTCTTGATGAATAAAAGCCCATTATCTGATATTGATTTATTGATTCTTCATCAGTGCTCCTTCCTACAAGTGGCGTAACAAGGGGGGTGTGGGGGTGCGGCCCACACCCCGGTGCACCATTGGAGAGGTCACACCAAAATGACTGACAGTCATTTTGGTGTCACCCCCTTGGAAAAGTCAGGCACTCGGTCATGGGCCGAGAGCCCAACAGTTGCCGGAGAGAGGAGGGGACCCGGCGGCATACCTGAACGTTCCCTCCTCTCTCTGCCGGCGTCCATAACTAAGATGGCCGCCGGCAGGTATCACAGAGATGGCCATGCATTTGCGCGATGACATTACGTGCACGAGCGTGGTGATGTCACACGCGTGCGTGGTGACATCACAGCAGGGTGTCACCTGGTATCCGCTCCGGGTGACACCCGGCCTTGGTACGCCCCTGTAAAGACCCACTATCTTCTGACACCTGACTCCATATATTTGTTGGGACTCTATTCATTATGGTGTAAGCAAGCAAAAGAGTAAAACATGTGCAGCATTTACAACAGTGTCACAAAGCTGTCTGACAGCTGTTGTTTGCCTGAAGAAGGGACTATCTGGTCCAAAAACGTTGCTTTGTGTATGTGACATCATGCTCAGTCAATAAAGGAGATTGACTGCTATCTACAAACGGAGTGCGAGTGACTTTATGGTATGTTGCTTTAGGTGGAAAGGACTGGCTCCAAGTATCAGGTAAGTATAACCATGTTATTTTTGGACTTAGACAAAACCGAACACTTAACCCTTGCAATGCGGGGGTAGCACATTTCGAAAATCTTTCCCTGGTGTTCTGCTTTAAGTGAAGACACTTTTCGTTCACACATAATTTAGTATATCATTCCAATGCCTTGCAGGGTCCTATAGAGTTTACCTATGGGTCTAAACCTGAAGGAACAGCTAATCGCTGACAAACATATTACATTGTACACTGAAATAACACTTACCAGGGTCTGAACGATGGCATGGTTTGTGGCATTCATATGAGCATTCAGTGGGAATGAGCACTCTCCTCCACAGTAGTTAGCCGCATAGCCTTTTGGAGCTATTATCCAGTCCTTCAACACATAAAGATATTGTTAGCTCTCAGTTTTATGTTATCCAACAATACAGAGTTTCTGATTAGATTTTACTGGATTATTGGTAATTCATAAGGTTTAAAGAAAAAAATGTATTGCAGGCAATGCAATTCACTAAGCTGCCAAAGGCAGCCGAGTGAATAACTGAGCTGAAGTGAAGTGAGCTGAACAACATTCGGCTTTTCACTACGGCTCAGTACGGATGATTTTAGACGTACATCGGCTAAAATCAGCCGTACATCGGCTTCCTTCGGTCAGCCAAACATGCTCTGTTCGGCTGACCAAAGGCCAGCGAAGTGAATAGCTGAATGCCGCTGAGCGGCATTTGGCTCGGTTATTCTGCTCGGTACCTCCGTGGTACTGAGCAGAATAGAAAATCAGAAAATGAAAAAAAAAAAGGAATTTGTAAAACAATCGGAAGATTAAAAAATATATATATTTTAAAGAAAAAATGAATAAATAAAGGAAACAATTGGGCGTAGCTAGTGGTGACAGCTAGCTCCGCCCAACTGTTTTCTATTGGTCGGCACCTGCTAGAGTCTCCTACCAGATCCCGGCCAATGAATAACAACTGAGTGGAGCCAGCGGTGATGTCACGGGAAGCTCCGCCCAGTAGCGATTGTTTAATGACAGATCAGCGTCCCCAGGTCATTTGTGGATGGTGATCTGTCATTACAACTGGGCAGAGCCAGCCGTGACATCACGGCTGGCTCCGCCCAGCTGTTATTCGCGAGAAGAACAGCTGGCCTTCGGCAGGCCATTCTCCCCGCTTTGGCTGTCACTTTGGCTCAGTCGAGCCGAAGCATGTACCTTTGGCTCAGCTGAGCCCTTTGGCTCCTGTACGGGCTTTAGTGAATAGCCCCTACAGCAGCCTTTCGGTTCCACTGAACCGAAGGGCTCCGGTGGCAGAAGAGAGCCAAAGGATCAGCCGAAGCTACGGCTGGGTCCTTCGGCTCCTTCGTGAATAACCCCCTTAATATATCAATACAAATCAAGGTTTATAATAAACTCTCCTCATCAGCAAATCTTGGACACATGATCATTAATTTGAAGACATGTAAAGATTTCTAAAAATTGATAACATAAATAAAAATTCCTCACCTGCCATCCTAAATCTTGAAAGCTGACATACAACTCATGTTTTCGGCATGCTGATTTAAGGTCACTGTTATTATAATCTGGGGAAAATAAAATCACAATTACCATTGTGAAGCTACTGACATATGTTATATTGCATCAGAGCAGTGTTTGAAAACCTGTGATTTTTGGAAGCCTAGTTTTCTAAAAAAAAAAAAAAAAACTGTCATGCATCTATAAAAATCTATGTGAAAAAGTAATCTGTTTACTGTACACTTCTGTTATCATCACTTATTTTGTCCTTGGTCCCCCTTAAAACTACACTAAACTTAGGCATTAAATCTTATAAATGCATTCAAGTACCTCAACTATTAACAAAAATGAAGTTTATTTGTGTATCACTCGGCTTTAGATCATCAAATCATCTCTGAATTGGTGCTGACAATGTCCTTCCTTCTGGAGGGTGGCTACGTTCGTTCCCCATTGTTCTTGTGTGTGCTGTAAAGTAGTTACCACTCCTAGCTGAGAATTTAGGGTCATAGTTTACACTTCCACAATTAGATGCATCCTACTGCATTCAAGGTGCACTCCTAGCAGACAGCCAAATACATACTATATATGCTAATAATTTACCTGCCAAAGAGTCTATGATTCAGTTTAGCTAGCTTTGTGATCCAGGTATCCCTAACGGACAGCACAACCAGGTTATGGACCTATCGGCAGACTAAATTACAATTAAGGCCCCTTTCACAAGGGTGGTGTTTGTTCCAATTTAGTAGGAGATGCATGAGCAGATCCCCTGCTGAATCGGAACAGAGTGTCAGTTTACATTCTTTTACAACTATTTAGAGGTAGAAAAAGTAGGGAGCAGTGGGGTCACAGTGACAATTAGAAGTTTAGTATCGAACCCGAGTGAAAAAAAGAGCTCAAGGGTACCAGCTAGCCAGGTACTTCTCCATTTCATCCGTCAATCTGGCCTCAACGTTCTTGTGAAACATTGTTTGGGTAATTCTAGACCTGGTCTCAGCTAAGCAATGAACGAGGCTTTTCCACAGTTTGCTGATCTATTTTGTCTATTTTGCTGCTGTCAGAACATGGATCATCAATTTGAACTTTGAAGAGATCTGAAGGTCAGACATTAGGAAGGGAATACGTAGCTCGCAAGGGGATCCTTTGGTAAGCATTCTGAAAATGTCTATCTCTATCCGGAATTGCTGAACCATCGGACACTTCCATCAAACGTGGTAGATGGTTCCCTGCTGTCCACAACCTCAGTAGCAAGGAGGTGAGTAGCAGAGCATGAATCAGGTGATTCTAACTGGTACTATATACCAGTGCATCATAACTTTGTAGTTGGTTTCCGCCAACAAGTTGCAGGAACTGGACTTCATAGTGGCCTAGATCTGGGGCTAGTCATCTTCATTTAGGCCTGGACCCAGATTGGCAGTCTACTGTTGGGTATAGGAAGGAAGGTGCAATGCTAAAGGATCCAACAATGGCAAACAAATCAGGGAGATCAGGCATGGGGAATGTGGTTCATCATGACACCGTCGCTCAAAGAGTATTAAGAGAAGAGGGCCATCTGGAAGCGCCACATTTTCTCTAAAAAGTGCATAATTAGAAGATATCTAAATAATTTCCTGTTTGGTAGATGTAAATCTTTTTGCAAGGATGGGGAGGATTTGATACCTTTGTCAGAAAGCAATTGATACACTTTTGTGGTGTCACGTTCAGTCCACTCCTGAAAACTCTGGAGAATGTCAAGCTGGTAGAAAGGCTGGATTGTAGATAAAAGCATAAGCACTTAAAAAGTCTAAAAGAGTAAGAGAGGTAGAGATCACATAATACACTGTATGTCCTATGTGCCTTGATCTGTTTGATTTAGAATGTTTTTTTTCTATGCTAAAAGAAATTTAATATTCTGTTCTATTCCATTATATTCTTTATTTGCTTGCAGCCCTGATGTGGCCTTATGGCTGTATGTTGTGCCACTAAACTTATTTTCCAACCCATAGACCCTAGAACCAATAGTCAGCATTTCCCCTGTTTAGGTGCTTACTTAGGCTTTCTGATCAATGTGTGACCTGGCACAGTAGCCTCACTGCAAGAATGACCACACCGTAGTACTATACCAACATGCCAGAGCTGCAGTAACATATCATAGTTCTCATACCACCAGAACTGGAACGCAAGCACATGAAGGGAAGTACAGTATTTATTACACTTGATTCTACTTGAATAAAGTGGTAGCAATAGTAGCTCCCATTTCTGTCCTTATAGATTCACTTTATAAGAAAAAGCCATTATAATCACATGGGTACAGCTAGTATGAATTTTTGTTGTGTGTGTGGGAGTTTTCTGCTTTTCAGCTATGTTTAATGTGCACTGTGATGATTAACAGTAGAATCATTAAGTGCATTGTGTTCCCTCTGGCTTTTGTATCTGTTAATTAAAAACAAACAAAATTATAGTAATTGTTCATCTATCCTCTTTGTTTCAATAAAGTGTGGCTTATAATGCACCACTGTTCCAGTTTAAACAAAACTCAGTTCAGCCAAGCATGTCTGTGTAGCTAAAGCCAAATGTTTATTTCATTGTTTATGGCTAAAAAAACATGACTGAAAGCAAATACAATCCAGAAATTTGTATTGCACTCTTGATACTCACTCACATTGGATGTGTTGCCCCATACAGCATGAAGAGCCAGTTGTTGATGCATCCCAAAGCTGTGGGAAGGAGCGCGCAAGTAGCTCTATGAAGACGCAGGAGCTAAGCACCTTCATATGCTGCTTTCCACAGCTCCGAGTTTTGACAGCTGCACACAAGCGATGTGTGGCCTCCGATGGAGACATGACCGCCTCACTTGAATGAGGCCAAATGCAGAAGATAGAGTTCACCAGTTGCCCTCTCTGAAGCCACTGCTGATGCCCTATTGTATATCTTTCCTGCTGAAGCAGAGGATCCACACTAACCCGTGATACTATGCAAGACTTGATTCACCAAGACTAGTCCAAAACATAACAGGACCTCTTTATTTATGTGATGTAGTGGTTTAGCCTTGCCTTGCATAAGTGCAAGCTTCTCTGGTAACTCATGCAGCTATCCCTACTTCTGTAGAATTCTTGCTCCTGAGTCCTTTTTAAATTCCTGTTCTTCACCTGTGAAAAATTTCCAGCCTAAAAAAAAATATGTAATACCTTCAGACTGAACAAAGGCTGAATTTCTGCCAAGAACACTGAGAAATATACTATTCATGTTTTTTTTTCTAATACTCAGCAGAAAATCTGATACTGATACCTGAGGGTTTCCATCATAAATCCCCTTGCATGAACAATGTAGGCTGTTGCATCCCTTGTACTTAAAGGAGAACTATGGTGAATACATTTTGCAATGTACTCCTGTAATCAAAAATGCACCATAAGCTTACAAATGCCTGCATAGGTTCTCATGAACGCGCAGCAGCTCCTACAAGCTGCTATCACTCAATGGGAGAGGAGGATCCCGACAATATTGTCGGGATCACTTCTCAGTACAGAGCTTAGCCCCTCCCGCAGTATATTACATAGAATTGTAAGCTTATGGTGCATTTTTGATTACAGGAGTACATTGCAAATGTATTTGTGTATCATAAGGGAACTAGCAATGGAAAAAAATGTGTACCCCATAGTTGTCTTTTAACTAACACCTTTTGCTACAATGCTGGCTTAAAATCTGTACTTGGTGGCACACCTCAAAGTCAGCTAGGTAGTAAGGAGTTTGCAAACCTTCACAGTTTATCTACAATCAAAGAAGCTATAAATGATTTTCTAAGAATGTGAGCATAAAACAAGTTCCAGGCAAGTTCCGCATTGCCAGTTACTGCTATTGCTGGTTCCAAAACATCTTCCTCCATCTGGTGGGTTTTTTGTTATTTGGGTGCTTGTGTATCAGCTCTTTAAAATGACATAGTTTGTTATCCTAAGAAATCTTCTTATAGCTTCTGCTCTATCTAAAAACTTTTTCCTTAGGAAGTCCTCTGTTAATAAAATGTTGCTTGCCACATTATTTATATGGGCAGGGCATGGGTTAAAAGAGAACTATGGGGTAAGTGTTTTTCCTCATAGTTCTCTTTAGGGTCATCGGAAGACATATACTAACCTCCTCCCATGACCCAAAGCTCAGTATATGACGGGCTAATACTGGCAGCGCCACAGCGGAGACGGATCCCAACAATACTGTCGAGATCCAGTATGAATGACAGCTGGCTCTGCCTATCTAGAGGCAGAGCCTGCTGTGCCCGCCCCCTACCTCCATTCTTTACTCCAGTCAGTGCTGGAGGATCGGAGAAGGGAGGGGGAATCCCTGCGGGGAGCGGTGACTGACAGTCACTGCTCACTGCAGGGAGACGATCAAGAAGTGATCAGATCGTGCATGTTTCTGCTCACTTCCCGATCGATAGAGGCGACCTGTGACAGCTTCTTTGTCACAGGTCGGCTCTATCTATGAGGATGAGTGGAAATCACTCATAGTTCTCCTTTAAGCCTCATTTCTACAGAGCACTAAGCCAGTTATTAGATGTTAAGCTAAATTTACATTTGGCATACCACCCTCTATCATAAGAGATAATAAGCAGGTCAATTAGGTTGTGGAACGAGTTTTACAAACCTCTTAACCGCCAACACAACTGGGTTGATTTGTTTTCCTGGGCAGCATTTTCTTACAGCAATCATGTTAGTGACTCATCAGACTCTTTGCTGTTCCATTTTGTATAGGAGCTTCACCCTAAAGTTCCTCATCCCTTTATTCCTCTTCTTACATGCAAGCTGCCAATACAGGCCATGCAAAGATATAAGAGGTATACTATGCGCCAGTCAGACTTCACTTAAGCCCAACTCCTAGTTTACACTTTCAGCTCCCCCCAGAGTCACCCTGTATGTCTTTTTTGAATACCTTTTTAAGAAGTCTTTACAACTTTTAAAGTAAGGAGAAGAGTATTGCAGATGAAGCAGTTGTTTTTATTTCTCCTGGGGAACATTTTTATGAAAAAAATATTACCTCCAGAGTTGGGCTGTAACGCAGTTGTGACATACCTACAAACCCTATGTTTCATCATTACAGTCCC